TGCAGATATGGTCATCTGCTTCTGTTTTTTGGGCATCTTCAGGGGTTATCTGTGGCCTTAATACTTAGATGGGTGTGTATTTTGTTATTTTTTTATGCCTTCTGAATGCCTCCAGGTAGATATGATCAGGAAATGGGCTTCCCTTTTCACTCTTTTTCCTAAGAAGTTTCAAGATACCACTGTTGGTCGTTTTGACGTAAGTTAGGATTTAATTTTCAGCCTATTTCCTCTTTTGTCTGCTTGTCCTGCTCCACAATCCCCGTTCAGTCCTTTTTTCTAGTTGAAACAGTTTGGGCCGGCTGTGGCTGTTTGGTTTTAATTGGAAACTGTCTCTTTAAATTTCAAGGAGATCTGTGCGCATGCGTAGTAGAACCCTCCAAGGGTGGCGCTGGGGTACCCACTAGCTCAGGCACCCCTATAGTCACCCGAATGGAGGTGCACAGACAGCAAGGGACCAATGAACAGATACCAAAAGAAAAGAATGTCCACAACTTTATCTCAGCGGTTCTGCCAGGCATCTGTGGCCGCTCCGATCTTTCCCCCATGTGGTCTAACCCAAGATGGCGGCTCCTGGAGCAGTCGAGCGTCCAGGACTAGAAAGCAATAGATTTCTTTCTTCTGCCACAAATTCCCCCAGCTGTGAGCCTTCCAACCTTCTAAGTATTCCTTTATATGTGGTTCAGAGTTCTGAGGCTGCTTGGTCAGGTATTCTGTGTTGTTGTTGGCGGAGCTCTCTGCTATACGTCCACACAATCCGCCATCTTGTTTGTTCCTTGGTAGGCAATAACTTTTGAATGACTGAATGACATAAAGCAACAATGTATTTTACATACTTGCATAAAAAATAGTTGTTAAATATGGATATTTCCAGCATGTCCCCAACAGTCTTATTTATGATATATAGAGAGAATATAAAAATTAAGAACTGGATTTATCAAGACAAAATATATATCATAGATTTCAAATTATCCATTTGACATGGTAAGGAATGACCAGGACATTTATAAATTTGTGAGCATGTATAATTCCTCAGGAATTAGTTACAGGAGTTCTACCTTTGGAAGAAACCTACTTTGAAGAGGAAGGAAAATCCTGAATTAGGTGCCTTCAGAATCATCAATTCGATTTTAAAATGTATTAAGTAGCAGGGAAAAGTGAGAAAACACCCAGTTCTATGACAAACTGCTTCTGTAAAGATAAAATCCCAATGCACTGAAAACAAGTTGGTTCTGATTCAGTGACCCTATATAGGCTTCCCAAGGCTGTAAGTTTTTATGGGAGCAGAAATCCTCTTCTTTCTATTCTGCCCTACAGGGTCGGATGAGTTAGAACTGATTTGCCAGCAATGGGTTTGGTTTTGGTTTGTCAGCTGAACAATTGTTGGAGTCAACTAAGCAGTAAAGGAGTTACTTCACATCAGATAAATGCTGTTGCTTCAGGCTGGCTGTTCTCTGCTTCTGCAGTTCCTTCTGGACTCCATGGTTTACCGGACAGTAGGGCTTTTCGGAGTCGTCTCCAGAAAATATGCTGCCCCAGGACATTTTCCTCCCACTCCAAGTAGGTGTTCCGGTTCAGAAGGCGATACAGCTCCACCTGCTGCCTGAGTAGGGATTTCTCCACTTTCTCTAGGATGATGAAGATGATACCAGAGCAACTGCTCAGAAACTGCCAGGTCTGGGCAATCTCATACTCAAAAATGCACCAGCGGCTGCGGATGAAGTGCTGTGACATCACCACAATCACCTTGCGGCTTTTGTGAAAACCTTCCTGGATGATGTTGGCAGAAATGGCCACGCCGGGGATAAAATCTCTGTAATGGAGGCAGAGCTTAAAGGGCGGCACACCATCTTCCAGATTCTTGACCAGCTCATTCCTCACCCAGTCCTCATCTTGGCTAGAGTAGATTACAAAGGCATCATAGGTGCATTCACCTCTACCAAAGCTTTTGCAGCCAGCAAGAAGCATCAGATGGAAATAGAATTTATACACCAGAACTAGTACCACAGATACAATGAACACAATAAGGACTGTTACACCGATGATTGTCTTGTTCATCTGGCAGGTGCTATTTGTAAAACTCAACACAGGCATGCCCCGTAAATCTGGAGGGGTTGCACACACCATTTGCTCAACTTTCACCAAGCGCTGCCTCTGGTCCTTGATCCACTGTAGGAACTCCTGGTATTCACAAGTACAAGCAAAGCCATTCTGGGTAAAATTTAAGAGCATTAGGTTACTTGGAAGATGCTGTAGTTCTTGCACCTTGGGGGCCATTTTACTATTGAAACTGTAGTCGAGAACCTGGAGGGAGTGGAGATTTTTATAGTGAAGGATATCCAATAACAGGAAATGATTATAACTCATGTTTATCACTTGAATTTTACAGAGTGAGCTAAAAGCTCCCTGGGACACCTTTTCCAATTTGCATGTAGAGAGATCCAAGAAAGTCAGGTTGGTCATTTCTGTGAAAATATTTGGAAGGGTATTGTTCAAAAAAGAATTGCCAGCCATTTTCAAGACTTTGAGACTATGCAATCCATGAAAGATGCCATTGAAGATGACTTTGGTGTTCGTATAAGAGATGTCAAGGTATAGGAGCTTTTTGAGTGATAAGAATACTGAAAAATCACTGACCTGCTTCAAGGTAGAATACTGGAAATCCAGATGTTCTAGTTGTTCCAAGTTCACAAAGTTTGAAGTCATGGTAATAATGTCATTGTAGCTCAGATCTAAATACTTCAGCCTGTTTGTCCCCAAGTTAGCCTGAGAACAGCACGTTCTTAAACTCAAACCATTGTTTCTGAGATCTAGAAATTCAAGGCTTGGTAGTGTAAACTTTATATAAGTGTTAATAACTTTATTGGCAATGAAAACTACCGTTTTCAAAGAGGCAAGTGCTAATTTGGGAACTTGTTGAAATTTACAGCTAATCAATTTTAAGGATTGCCATCTGAAATCCTTAGGAAGTTCTTCTAAGTCGTCTAGGTCCAGATTCACCAGAGAAACTGCAGAAACATTTGCCAAGCAATTAAGTGCACCATTATTTTTCCAGGAGAATTTATCCAAGTAGGCTATCCGGAATTCTTTAATGGTCAAATTGCATAGTCCCTCGAAGGCAGAGACTTCAAACCTGTCCAAATTTCTTTCATTTTTAAATTCTCCCAGGACCAACTGATGGACTTCTAAACCAGCCAGAGCTTGAATACACATTTTCATTACATTTATACTACCAAAATTACTTCTCAAAATCAGTTCATGGAGCCTAATTTCTTTGAAGGCACCTGGTTGGATAAAGTCTATCATGTTCAGAGAAAGGTCTAGAGAGAGATTCAGCAGAGGAATTTGATGTAGAACCACTAAGTCTTTATGATAAATATATTGGATCTGGTTATTTGAAAGGTCCAAGTGTTCCAGGTTAGATAAGTTAGAAAAATATTCAGGTAATTTGATGGAACAGATAAAATTATGAGCTATAACTAACTTCTTCAAGGTCTTAAGATGTCCAATGGGGAAGTCTTCTAGAGAGACAAGGTTTATCTCCACAGCCACTAACTTCTGTAAACTTGATAGTCCAGAAAAGGCTCCAAGAGCTAAGTACTGGATAGGGTTTCCCGTCAATATCAAGGTGGAGAGGTGGATTAGTCCCTGATATGCATCATCTTCAATTCTTTGAATTTCACACCTATTTGGAAAAGAGATGCAGATTACATAATATTTACACTGAATAAAAACCCAATTGGAATAGTAACATCAATCTAACATTTCATAGGATGTGACCTGCCATATGTCGTATGTGTCCAGGTAAGGATATCAAACAGAGTAGATTATGGCATGTGCAAATAAGAATTTCTCTCTGATCCAGTATTGACACACTGGCCACACTAATGCACTCTTATTATACTTGGTATACATGCTTAACAGAGACAGAAAAAACATCAGAAGAAAATCATTTAAAGAATAATGATTAGGATGCTGTTGTTGTTGTTAGGTGCCATCGAGTAATGACTACTATTTGATTGGTAGAGTATGTAAGATCAAATTTAGTCACTTCCTGATTAATACAGCTTATAGAGATAGGTAGTTATTGTTGTTGTTAAATGTCATCAAGTCAGTTCTGACTCAAAGGGACTCTGTATAAGGTTTCCGAGGAAGAGCAGGTAAGTTTGTACCACTGACCTTAAGGTTAACAGTCTAGTGTTTAGGTATGCTAAATGAAGGGTGAAGACCAATTTCAAAGAAATAAAAAAATTTAAGTGTCAGAGATATCATTAATGTTTGTGAAAACTTCTGAATATAGCTAGGTATTTGAAAGGTATCACGATCACCGTAAATGTTTGTAATACGTGATGTGAGTGAAAAGTTTTATTAAGGAAACTGACCCAGACTTGGGGGATCAAAGCAAGTTTCTCTGAGAATATTTAAGGCAAAATGTGCAAGATGAGTAGGAATTAATAAGAAAAGGAAACAGCATGGATAACAGATATAAAAATCCCAAAGTAGGTGGCAGCTATGATACATGAAGCGATATGGATTGAATTGTGTCCCCAATAAAGATATACTGATGTCCTAATCCCTTGTACCAGTGAATTCAGCGCTAATTGAAAATAAGGTCTTTGAGGATTTTATCAGTTGTGTTACCATGAGGTAATACTGAATTAGGGTGGATCCTAATCTAATCCGAGTGGCGTATAACAGAGAAGACGCACAAAGAGACAAGGAAGGATGGCCATGCATCTAGAAACTCAGTATCATCTGGGGCTGTTTGAAGCTGGGAGGCAAGAAAGGATCTTCTACTGAAGGCATTAGAAGGAGCACGGATAGGACCACATGTTGATTTTAACTTCTAGTATCCAGAACTATAAGAACATAAAATTCTGTTTTTATAAATCACCCGGTTTTTTTCAGGTGTTTGTTTCTGCAGCAGAAAAGTAAATACAGATGGGACATACAATTATAGTATAATGTGGAATGTTGTTGTTGTTAAGTGCCGTCGAGTTGGTTCTAACTCAAAGTGACCCTGTTACGGGTTTCCGAGGAACAACTGCTGAGATTAAACAGCTGACCTTGCGGTTTAAACCAACCTTGTGGCCTAGTGTGGCCTAATGCTTATCCTACAGCATCACAAGTGGGATGTTAGGCCCAAAGTGTGTATATATATATGTATATATAAGGAGCTCTGGTAGCGTAGTGGTTACGAATCGGGCTGCGAACCTTAAGGTCAGCGGTTCGAAACTACCAGCCGCTCCGCGGGAGAAAGATGAGGCTTTCTACTCCCGTAAAGATTTACACCCTCGGAAACCCTGTACAGGGTCGCTATGGGTCGGAACCGACTCGACGGCACTTAACAACAACAACAATATATATATATACATATATATATTTATATATATACATATATATATATATTTTTTAAAGGATCCTTCAAGAGGCTATGTCTTCTTTCATAGAGGAGATGGTATGTCATATATTAGTATACTCTTTTCACATACTAGAATGTACAATGATTATTGTTGTTAAGTGCCGTGGAGTCGGTTTCGACCCATAGCAACCTTGTATAGGGTTTCTGAGGAACAGCTGGTAAGCTTGAACCACAAATCTTGAAGTTCAAGTGGCTCTGCAGTCTGGTGCATTAACCCACAGCGCCATACCAGGACTTCTGTACGATATATAGCTAGTGATTAATGAATAGCTGTTGTTACAGAATTTAAGTCAATTTTCTCTCTTGACTTTTAAAAAAATGTCCTTAGAAACCATTTTACCAGCTACCAATTTCACAGATGAAGAAATTGAGAAGAGAAGCAGTCTGCCGAAAATCATATTTGGTGTTGTTAAGTGCCAGCTGAGTCTTTTCTGACTCATAGAGATACCGTATAGGGTTTCTGAGGAGCGGCTGGTGAGTTTGAACCACCAACCTTTCTGTTCAAACTGACCTTGCAGTCCAATGCTTATCCTACAGGGTCACATCAAGTAATAAAATCTGTTGAATGAATGAATGAAGAATAAATTCTACTAGGCAGGCTTTCTGGCACAAGGATGAGGTGATAGGACAATGAACATCTCACTTTTACCACACATAAAAACTCATTCATTACCTGGATAAATCCAGCACACGAAGTTCTGGGAAGTTGGAGAAGCTATGGCTGCCTAAGTGTCTCAAGGGATTAAAGCTCAGGTCCAGATTCTCAGTTGTTGAGGGGATGTTGTCAGGGATTTTGTAGAGATTCACCTCCATACATTGGTAAGTAATATTAGGAACCACCTGCAAATATCACACGTTAGATGCAATATCTTTCTGTCCCAACTCCCCTTCTCCTAAAACAGAATCTAGGTGCCTCTAGTTCAAGTACAGGAGCTGGTCCACCTTCTTTCATCATCCCCCCTCCCATTCATTTATTCAGTCATACATACACTCATTCACTTCCTACCTCTTTGTATTAAATGTCCTATTCTAGATTAGGGAGCAAAGAGCACGTAATATATACTCAGTGCTGTAACCTACTATAACCATAACAACATTGAATAACATGAAATGGAGCCAAGTGATAACAGTCTAAGACTTTGAAGTTTGAAAGCTCTGGGTTTTATCCTAGCTATTCCTTGTTATTTGGGACAAGAGTTTTTGTTGTACTTGCTGTTTTCAATTTTCTGTAAACCTCTAATTTCAATGAGCTCACAGTCCTGAGTAATAGTTAAAATAGGATCACAACTAATGCTATCTAAAATGGCCATAAATGAGGCTTGGGAAATGTGCTCCAGAGAATTCTGGAGCTTGGTGCAAAAATCTTAGAAGGCTTCCTAGAGGAAGGAGATTTTAAAGTGGCTATTGAAGGAGCTCTGGTAGCGTAGTGGTTACGAATCGGGCTGCGAACCTTAAGGTCAGCGGTTCGAAACTATCAGCCGCTCCGCGGGAGAAAGATGAGGCTTTCTACTCCCGTAAAGATTTACACCCTCGGAAACCCTGTACAGGGTCGCTATGG